CAGTGATACTGGATATTTCAGTGATCAGTCTTATGTCATCAGCTTTCATTTTTTGGCTGGTTTGGGATTTTTTTTTTTACATAAGAGAATTTTACATAAGAGGGGTCAAGGTGATCCCATGGACTGGCAGCAGGTGTTGGAATAACCTCCATGGAGTTTTGGAATATAATGGAATACCTCCAGTGCTGAGGTGTCAGTGTGGGCTCCAGCTGTGCATGGGAAAGGGCTGGTTCAGGGCTTGGAAAACCAAATTTCTTACAGTGAGGGCAGGGAAATGGACTTTTCATGTCTTAGTACTGCTCCTGCTTTGGGTTGAGTGAGCAGCACTCAACCATCACTGGCCCAAGGATCACAAGATTCCCAAAAGCTCTGATTTGTACAAAAATGGCTCCTTTTTCTTAACTAAGGAAGATGCATCCAAAGAGATTTCCTGGCTCTGCCTTAAGAAGAGGGATTGCTCCAGTTTCTGAGGTGTTTGGGAATGATCTGTAAATGATGCACACCCCAAAATACAGCAGCTCCAGTGAGAGAGGGAGGAATTTAGGAGGTGATTTCAGGGATAATGGAATGAGTGTGAGCATTTCAGAGGTGATTCCAGGCAGAATAGATGGATATGAAAAGGTCACAGCTGGAAATAAAGGCACTCAGCACAGACCTCTTCCCAAGCTGTTCTTACAGTGTCCCAAAACCTGGAGTCACTCAGAATATGACACAATTTGTGCATCCCAAATGCAATTTGCTGTATTCTTTCTGCTTTTCATGTATTTATTTCTAGTGAGCTGTCTTTTGTAGTTAAGCTTATCTATTGCTTCCATCCATTTCCAGGTTTTTTTTCTTATAAACGATCCTGTTACACCTTCCCTTTGCCAGGGCTGTAATTGTAAAACAAAACAAAACAAAACAAAACAAAACCTACAGGGGGGAAACCCCAAACCAAGGCCTGTCCTGTCATTGCTGCAGCTGGCACATCACTCCCAAAGGTTCTGCTCTTGTAAATTCTCCTCAGCTTCCTTTTCTCCAGGTGTGGAATGAGGAGCTCCAGTTTGGAAGGTGGGAGGGATGGACAGCAGAGGTTGTTCCTGCTTTGGTTTGCTTTGTGTCCTTGGTGTGCTCTGAAGGGCTGGGCTGGCTCCTGAAAGGGAGCAGAGCAAACAACCCGGGCAATAATTGCTTTGGCTCCCTGACTTTGATTTGCCATCACTGCTGAGCAGCAGGATCAGTTTGGGTGACCTTGAGGATCGGTGCTGCTCAGGCAGGACTCGGGTGAGGATGCTCCCTGCTCTCCCCTTCCCCTGGCTGCAAACCTCCACCCAGACACACGATAGGGGCTTGTTTTCTGCTCAGAAATGAGAATGTGAGGCACAAAAAATCCCTTAGTCATTGAAAAACGTGCAGTGACATTTAAATTCCATCCCTGACAACGTGTTCTCTCAAAGCCTCTTCGAAGGAGTTTGTTAAGAGCTCTTTAAATTCCTAAACCACTGCTGACTAATAGAGGAATATAAATGAGCTCTGAAACAGGTTCATTTAACTCTTGTCTAATGTGTAGCATTTGGCCTGGCAGAGTCAAAATACTGTGACTTGTTTTTGTGTGGCAAATTGAGCACTTTGTTTATTAAAATTGCTGATTTGTTGTATAATGAGGAGGGCCCAGATTGCTGTTCCTTCCACAGGAAGGATTTAAAGGGCAGGTCACTGCTGTTCTCCAGCAGCAAAGTAATTCTGATTATATGCTCATCTTCTGTTCTGTATTTCACAGATCTTCATTAGCCAGGTTTTAGAATGATTAACTTGCATTTTGCTTGCAGTCCTGTCAGCCTTAGTGGTGCTCTACACATTTGGCTTCCTAAATTCTCCATCTGAACACAGACCAGTATGTCTGTAAAGTGAAATCACTGATAATTTATCAGAATAAAACCAGAGCATAAAACTGGGTTCGTGTTGTAAAGCTGCACCCTGCATCATGTAATATTCAATGATTTTTTTTAACTCTGAGCTGGGACTCTTAATTGAAGCTGCAGCTTTGCACTTCCTTCATGCATGACTTAAGGCATCCAGCAATGTTTGCTGGGATGGAATTTGCTTTTTTTGTAAAAGCTTCCACAGAGAGAGGTAGAACAGCCATTTTGCCAAAGATTTAGTAAATAATGATGCACATAATGCAGAATTTTAATGTCCTTTGATACTGGGAGGGGGATCACAGTTTTTGTGTTCCTCCTCTTGCTCCAGTGGCTTTCCCCTTCCCTTCAAGCAGAGTTGAGTGCTGGCTGTTGTTTCTAATTGCAGATGATGGAGCACTGACATTTTCAAAAGCACACATAGATGATAGGCACCCAAAGGATGAGACTGCTGCCTTCAGAGATGCTGCTACAATTCTGCTGGCATCGACTCATTTAGTGATGAATTGCAGTAATAGCAGTTCAGGACCTACAGCATATTAGTGAAAATGAATCCACTGAGCACCAGTCCCACAGCACTGCAACAGCACTTAAACAACACTGATTTCCTTAAAGGTAGAAAAAATCTGATTAAGAAATTCAGTTGGGGCTTTGTTTTTTGCTTTTGGTGGTTTTTTTTCCCCCTTCATATTTTTTTTCCTTTACCAGCAGCGTATTATTTGTATTTGTTTCTTGTAGCGTGTTATTCTAAGGAATTTAATGTACAGCAGAAAAACAGGTGAGTTCCATAAATGCAAAACGTCTCTTACTGTTCTAGCAGATGGAAGATGCTACAATAAGCAGTAGAACTGCTTTAATTTCTTGATCTAAACTGACCTAAAACCTGGTTATAGCAGGAAAAAAAAAGCTCAGCATGCTGGCACCGAGGAGATACGTAATAGTTTACACAGGGTCTGTGGCAAAGATGTTGTAGGATGAATGCAGCAATTGGCAAGAATTACTCTAATAAAAGGATGGGGCTGCCTATTATTGCAGGAGTTGTGTAATTGGAGGGAGCTGGGGATAAAGACAGGCTTCGTGTTAATGATGTGGTGGTGTTGGGAGAACAGAGTGTTCTCCCAGCTCTGGGAGAGGGATCACTGCGGAGATCCCGAGCACAAAGCTGTGCAGTCTCCTTCCAAATCATCCCACAGCCACAAAATCACTGGGCTCTGGAATGCAGGGATTGGAAAATTTGCTGTATGCATCTCCCTCCTTCTCCTTCCTTCCCCACCTCGACACCCTCCACGTCTGGGACATGTCTGGAGCACGTGCAGGAGCAGCTGGAAGTGGCCCCAGGTAGAAAGCAGTGCTAATAAACAGGCTCCTCTTGGTCAAATGGAGTCTTGTAAACTCCAGTACACGGGTCTGAGTGTCTGAGAGGCTGTAAAGATATTCTAAACTGGGATTTATGGATAATTTCACCATTTTAGGGCTAATACAGCTTTGTAAAGCTGACAGCTGCAGAGGAATTATTTGAAGACAATCCTGGATAGTTTGGCCAAGATCTGTTTTGTGCCAAGGGTAGGGGTACACTCCTAACACTGGCTGCATTAACAGCTCTGCTCTGTCAGGGCAGTTAAAAATCTGTCTTTGCTGCACCTGTGGTTGTACTATCTTTGGGAAGGGATAAAATCTGGATATGTAATTGTATGAAGGAAGCAGAGTATTTATAGCAGGTGACTCTGGGCTGATGTGGGTGTTTGTGCACTCAAGGTTCTCGACAAGCACATGATGAGTTATGATGATGAAATAATTTTCTGGATTTTGTGATTTGAAAAGCAGCTTGGCACTTCTTGCCAAAGCTCCTGCAGTTTCTCTTAAGTTAAGAAAGTCAAGGGAGTTCTTTTCCTGAATAATATTTTCTTTAAAAATTGAATTATAGAATTGTTTAAGTTGGAAAAGATATTTAAGATCATTGAAACCTGTGTAGCTTTCAGGTAGGCCGAGAAACATCCCAGTCTGAATATCCATGACTTGGTAAGGTCCCTTGATATTGATATAAATAACAATATAATCAGCTGTAAAATAAACTAAAAACACAAGGGCTGTGTTGATAGCAGGATCCAACTTAGATGACTTTCTAATGCCAAACATTTTGAGTTTAGGGATTCACATGATTTCTACTTTCCTAAAGAAATTTAAATTAAAGATGTGCCTTTCTGACTCAAACAAAAGCAGATGCTTCTTAAAGTAGCACGAGCTGCTGGTTTCTTAAAGTCCTGATCTCCTAATTTTAAATTCTCTTCTGGCAAATTGTGATTTAATTACAGAAGTATTTCAAAACACACAAACAGCACACATATATTTTGAGGTATGTTCACTGAATAAAGATGAGGGAACTAAGGCGAGTCAGTCTGCAAAATATTTGTTAAGGTGATAGAAGATGGATTGAACTGTCCAGGTAAAGACTAAAGGTTGTACTGAGCCACAGTTTCAGTATTTTTAATACCTTATGGCATTAAAATTTGATTTAAATAATGACAGTTGAGGATAAACACAATTTTGTTTCTTTATGCTTGGGTTTGTTGTGCTTAGAGCTGTGTGAAAGCTCTAAAGAAGACTTTGCTATTCAAAGTTTTCATTTAATTTCCTTCTGAAAGAAATACTACGAAAAGTTCAGGTGAAAGGAAACCAGATGAGATTCATATGCCATTAAGGGAATTATATTAGGAGTTGTAATAATATCCCTTAATCTTAAAAAGGTAAGTCTCTTACAGAATTAAGGTTTTGCTGCTGCTTTTCCTGCCGTGTGAGGAATTATGGCTAATGCAAGTTGCTGATGTGAAAACATCCTCGCTAATCCTGTTTGGAGAGCGGCTCGTTCTGCGCTCCTTAGAAAAGGCACAAGAAGATGTATTATGGGCCCTTCGTTAAATAATTACTTAATTACACCCTGGGACTGGCAGATAGAAATCTGAATGCTGCTGGCAGGTTTCTCCTAAAGCAGCAGAACTCCGTGTGAGGAGCGCCACGTGCGCGGGGGCGCGTTGGCATCGGCAAACTCACGGTGGGAAAGACATCTCAGTCAGCTCATACTCATTAAAAAAAGCTTCTACTCACCCTTCCCTGTGAGCTTCTCCCTTCTCTAGCTCCTGTATAACACCCAACAACACTTTGATGGTCTCCTGACTAGAGCTGATCAGGTTCTCCATCATCTGAAGCTGCGCTTTCAAGTCCACAACTTCGGTGTGAGGCACGATTTGTTGGCATTCCTGGCTCACGGCCACGGCCGTCCGGCAGGGCTGGCTCTCCTCCACGGGCACCACGTTGACCTGCAGGCTCTGGTCACTACATTCGGGGGCCGGGCACTGCGCCCGCGCCGCGCACGCTCGCGCATCTCCGGCCGGGGCCTGCACCCCGTTCAGCTGCACCGTCCTCTTGTCGTCCTCCTCGGGGCACGGCCCCCAGTCGCCCAGGCTGGGCAGGTCGGGCTGCGAGGCCGGCAGATAAACCGTGGCCACCTCGGTCTTGAAGACCCTCCCGTGGAGGGGCTGGGCGGCCTCGTCGCTCCCCAACCGCGCCGCCGCCGCTCTGCCCCGGCCGGGCGGCCGCGCCGGCTCCTCCACGCCGGGCTCGGCCAAGTTGGGCAGAGGAGGAGGCTCTTTGGGAGAAGTGTGCAAATCGCTGCTTTTCCAGGCCTCGGCGCCGTCGTCGTGCGCGGCGCGCTCGGAGATGTGGGAGATGAACTCGGCCGTGTGCAGGCTGCCGGCCTTCCTGCCCCACGCCGCGGCCTCGCCCGGGCCCCGGCCCTCCCTGTCCTTCACCTCGATCAGGAACCCGTTGTTCTCGCTCGGTAACGTGTCCACGGTCGAGGCGCTTTTCAGAATATTCCCTTTCTTCCTGTCCAGAGGGAAGGTCTGGTAGCACTTTTTGAGATCAGGGGAAGTCTGGACTCCTGTGCTCTTGGTGACATTGGGGATGGACCTGCGGGCGGGCACCGTCATGTACTTGCGATAGGCCGTCTTGTAGGAGATGGCCTTGGCCTCCCTCTTGTCGGGGTCCTGCGTGGAGGACGTGGAGAGCTGCTTGTCCCTCTGCTCGTTCTGGGCCTCGCAGATATCCTTGAACCTCACCTGCAGGGCTTTGTTCCGTTTCTTGATCTGCCGGTTGGGATCCAGCGCGTATTTCATCTCCAGCGCCAGGGAAGCCGCGGGCTCGACGTCGCTGTCCGAGGCGGTGAGTAAGCATTTGCTGGGCTCTTTACTCACCATGGTGCCTGCAGCCAAAAACAGAGCAAAAAGCCTCAAGTTACAGCAGAAATGTTACTTTTCCCCCTGAGGTTTTTGCAATATTTGAGCCACGTTCCTGTGATCCCACTGAAATGGCTGCGACTCGCGACCAGTGCGCTCGACTCTGTCGAGTCGCAGCCCGAGGTGATTTTCTGGAGATTTGTATCTTAATCACGCTTTTTATCTTGATCTGTTATGAATACTTGCTCCTCAGAGAAGAGGTTTCCTGGTGCCAGAAGTTTTTCCACAACTATTTTCTTAGGTTAAGACTGTGGCTGGGCTTCCCAGGAAGCAATTTCCTTCAGGAATATGTGCTCCCAAGAAGCCAGGCCTCTGAATTTACCTGGTAGCTCATAAAAACTACAGGGAGAGTGAAAAACAAGTGGCTTTGTCCAAGTGAAGAAAAGTTGAAGGCTCTGCCCACCCTTAATTCTCCTTCAACTCACATGTTTAGTAGCAAGAAGTGTCAAACTGGCATTATTTTTTAGAGTGTATTGCTTACCAAACACATTTCTGCTGTGTAATGTATTCAGCGCTCTTTGCAAGGAATTAATTGGTCGTTAGAGGTGTCATTATTCGGATTTTTATAAAAAATTTCCTTATGGCTACAACTAAATACAGATTAATTATTATTAGCAAGTGGTTGGTGGTGCTGGATGCATAAAATGTATGAATTAGTGAAGTTTTGCAGGAAGTCAGCAGTGCATCAATTAAGGTTTTGCTTCAAATGCAAAACAACTCATCCTTTCCTAGAAGCACTAATGTGCCTTTACGATACAGCTGCTTATCCCAAAAGAACCTAAAGCACTAAAATCCCTCCAAACCTGTGATGATTCATAGAAATTACTTCATCTGCCATTGAAATATAAGCTCCTCCTCGAGGAGGAGATGCCAACTACTTAACACAGCATCTACCCCAAAAAAAAACCCCTCAAACCCCAGTGGTTGTACAGATCATACAAGACCTGGAGTAGCTGCATAATTAAGATTTCATTTTTACACCTCATTTGAAGTTGTAATTTTTACTTTCCCGTTGTGCAAATTTCTCCCTGAGACTTGCTGAATTACCAAATTCCCACTTAATCCAAACATTCTGCATATATCTCCTGATGAAACCCTCAGAGGGACTCGGGAGTACAATGTAAAACAAGTAAAGGGACTTTCAGGTGTACTTGAAATATGTTTTTAATTAAAATTCCTTTGTCTATCTAATAAAATATGCGAAACTCTTGAAGAGTTAAGTGCCATAATAGCATCTGTTTTAGAAAGGCAACTCAGGGGCACAAGGGAATGAATCCTTGACTAGTCTATATTTAATAAAGTAAGAAAGCTTAATGGGGAAATGATTTTCAGTGGAAAACTGAATGTTTATGAGGTTTAAAAGTAAAAGTAACACTTCCCTAAAGACACACATAGATGTGCATGGCACAGAGTCCAAGGTTGGACTTCTGGGTCAAAAATCTCATGGAAACGTGTCATCACTTAATGTTTTTTTCATGTTTTAATTCCCTGGCCTCAGTAATTTGTGAAGAAGGAACTGAAATATTCCAGAATTCTCCTAGTTTGCCTTTTTCTGTCTGATTTGTTATGCTCAAGGAGTGGTGAGGGAGCTGCAGTCGTTGGAGAAGGGGGAGAAGATTTTCTGTGACTCCGGTGTACTGCAAAGTCTGTAGCAAAGAAGCAAAAAAAGGGAAAATTCAGGACAAAACCATTCAAATAATGGAATCTGAGATTGCCAGATATTAGTTTTCAACTGGATATTTTATATATACAAGCCTAGGATCTGATACCAAGGTGACCAAGTCCCTGTTTCAGGGGAAAAGAGAGAATAAATTGGAAATTCTAAGGGAGAGTCTAAAGATAAAAGTAGAGTAGGGGGATAAAATCAGTTATCCCCACGCCCTTAACACATGAGACACAACCAGGGACACATTTTGAGAGGAATAAATCAACTACATTTGAATGTCAGGGATCTTTTTTTTCCATTTTGTTCCCTAAATAAGGAGTCGGTTGCGGGGGAGTATCAGTGTCCTGTCCTGGCTGGTTTGGGCTGTATTTTAATTCTGATTATCTTTGTGAGTGAAGGTATGCCTTTATTTGAGGGACATTCTGCAAACAGAGCAGGTAGGGAGTGCAGCCATCCATCTTTTTTTGTGTGTCTAGGGCTGGAATTTGGGAATGTTGTAGTGAAAAAAGTGTTGCCTAAGATACAAACCCGGTCCTTTAGCTTGCAGCTGGACCACATTAAAATCTATTGTAAAAACTGCTGTAGAACCCCAAAAGTCTGCACTTCAGAATTACTGGAAGCAAATTTTCCACAACAGTCTGGTAAATGAATAAGCTGACCAAAAAACCCCCTAAATACAAGAACACAACAGCCATTACAGCCATTAGTTCCAAATCTGCCAGTGGGAGTTTCTGAGCTCCCAAGAAATTGTGGCAAAAATGAAATGTTGCATTCACAAAGATGTGAAATATTCAGTAAATGTGTCTGAAAATGCCACGTTTTTACCCAAAAAGGTTACAAAAATTGGCTGTTAGCTCTGAAAGTCACCCTTTAGAACCATCTCTTAGGATTCCTCAGAGTTGTCAGAGTGAGTTTTTGGGCACATGGTTATTTGACAGCAGGATCCATTAACATGCAATTTATTTTCAAGTATTGGCTTGATATTTCATTAGTGTCTGTGAGCTGTCTCAATTTTCAGATTATTTCACCTCCCACTTGAATCCCATCATTTTTGGGGGCTGCAGGATGGCTGGGTTTGTTTGGGACCAGGAGATACCTTCCAGAGTAAATAACTGGGGAACTTCATTCTGCAGTTAATTTTAAGTATGTCTTTAATAGCCAATAAATTGATTCTTCACCAAATTACTTGTCTCCCTTTCCCAACTGCACACAGGCCTGATTGATTTAGCTGATCCAGAGGTTTCAGAGTTTTTTATTCCCACTAGTAGCTGGGAGTAATAATTTCAGAGATATCTGTGATTAAGAATGACAACAAGCAAAAGAAGTCGATTTTTTTTTTGAAGCCTTGCTCGGATCCCGGTGTCTCTTGAGGAGAACTCTCTGTGCTCAGCTGATAAAAGAACAGTTGAGCAAAGAGTCAATTGTGAGTTAAACATTTCACAGGGAAAAGTTGATAAAATATTTCCTGTTTGGTTTCATTTTTGGTTTGGTCAAAGTGTTGTCTCCTGTTTTGGCTTATTCAGGCACAGAGTTGTCTCTCTGCAGGATTTTTGGGTACTTTAGGAAACAACTGAGCTGGAGTTTCTCTGTTTATGGCTCGTGCTGTCAGGGGGGTAATAAAGCCTTTGAATTTGATTTTTAGTTGCAGATAATAGAGTTCAACTTTTTATCTGTACTTACTCCAAAGAAAGAGCTGATTTGCTAAACTAAATATTGAAATATAATCACAAGCTTAGTTTTTCAGTTTTTAGCATTGATTTGTTTATAAACTTGTGGCTGATTACCCTTAAGCAGCATTTCTCTGTGTTTGAATATGGAAATAAACTATTAAATAATAATAATAATAATAATAATAACTAAAAAGTGATGCACAGAGAAGCTTTGAGTCAGTATAAAATCTTCAGGGTAATTATGGAAACCACAAATCTTTGCAGGACCTGCACTCTGCATCCCAAACTCTGCAGAGTCACTGCTCAGGGAGGAGAATTACAGTGTGGAATTTCCACACTGATTGGTTAATGAGGGGAGAGGAGATTTGGAACTCACCTTGCAATTCCCATTTTATCTCTGTCATTTTATCACACAAAAGCACTTTGAGGACGTGTTAATATGCAGAGTGGGCTTAAACTTTTCCAGGTTCCAAATGCAGATGAAAGACACAGATTTCAGTCCTTGGGTTTCCAGAGCAAACAAAGGCTTTGGAGATGCAGCTGGAAACATCTGTGCACGTATTAAGAGCACACAGGATTTTGTGGATGGATGGTTTGACTTAAAATAATGCAGGGAATTGCAAATAATTGACTTTTTGCGTGGGAAGTGATCTGCAGCATCTTTAGGCTTCTGGATATTTCCAGGCTGGACATTCTCCTGAGAAATCTCCACTGCCTCAGATATAATTTTATATGCCTAAATAGCACCTTAAACCACTTACTTTTCAAAAACTATTTGATGTCTGTAAGTCATAAGTGTATCCATGGAATATTTATCCAATCGTACTGTTAAAAATAAAGAGCAGAAAGAAACTCAGATTTACTTCATAGAAACAAATCCAGTATAGAAACCTAATGTTAATTCTAAATATCCCATACATTCTGGCTTCATTAAATGAGTGTTTTTATTCTTTTCAAAGGAACTTAGTTGTTAATTAGCTGACAGTGTTGTTATGTTAAAAACTTCAAAATTATTTAGTATGATGATACTAAAAGTACTAAAAGTACTAAAAGTAATGTTCAGTAAAGAAGACTGTCAGGATAAAAATGTTGGAAAATACAGATTATCTTAGGCAGTTATTAATTATAAAAGTCGTTTGCAGAAATTCTGCCTGTCTTAGGAATTTTTGGAGGGCTTTAATACAAAAGGACTGAGGAGAAATTCTGACTTCCAGATAAATCTGAGGGTGCAGGTATTCCCAGTTTTTAGGGGATAAAAAAATACTGATGAGAGGATTATTAGGAAAACTGATGGGGTAGCCCAGCCTGTCTATTTAATCACAGAATCGTTCATGTAGAATAACAGACTTAGCAGTGCTGCTAAATGTCAAACCAGTATTTTTTTTTTAACTCTGTTTTGAAACCCTGAGGCGCTGAACTTGAATTTTCTCTCTCTTGAACTTCCTTATTTATTGCTCAATCCCGAAGTCATCCTTACTGCTGCATTTCCAAGTGCCTTGGAAGTGTTCCTTTGGAATTATCGGGATCCTGTGGCATTGGATTTGTCTTTTCTCCCCTCCCCTCCATTGGCAAGCTCTGTGAGAATGATGTATAAAATAATAGCTTATGGCTGAGATACCCAATAAATGCC